TAGGACAGATCCAGACCCCTGAACATGGATGTCAATGAGAAGGCCTCTGCACTCTAGTGGTCCCCTGGTACTTTTCCCTGGTGTAAGAAAGGATGTTGAGAGCCCATCCCACTTTAAGGGATGCACTCTTGACCTAGACACATGGGGGAGGGCCTAGGTCCAGCAGAGGATGATGTGGTGGACTTTGTGGAGCCCCCATTGAGGGCCCTATCCTACCTGGGAAGTGGAGAGAGGATGGAATGGGGGGTAGTTCCCTGATAGGGAACTAAGGGTTGGGCGGGAGAGGAGAGAGAGGGAGAAGGGATTGACATGTAAAACCAGCTTGTTCCTAATTTGAACTAATGAAAAGAATTACAAAAAAATAATAACAGCAGGAAAATGGCCAATTAGCATATTAAGGCAAACCTGTCAGAACTACACCGGACTTCTCCATGGAAACTCTGAAGCCAGGAGGACCTAGATAGATATTCTACCGACTCTAAGAAAACACAGGTGCCAGCACAGACTACTAAAACCAGCAAAGCTTTCAATTAATATAAAAGAAGAAGACAAAATATTCCACAACGAAACCAGATTTAAACACGTATCAACAAATCCAGCCCTACAGAAAGTTGTAGAAGGAAAACTCCAACCTAAGGAAATTAACTGCAATCATAAAAACATAGGCGATAGATAATCCCACTTTACCAAAACCCAAAAGAAAAAGCAGGGTAAATCCACATACAATGCGACTACATACAACAAGACAAAAACAAACTAGAATAAGCACTCAATGGTCCTTAATTTCTCTCAATATTAATGGACCTAAATTGCCTATAAAAAGACACAGGCTAACCGATTGCATGTGAAGATAGAACCCATACTTCTGCTGCATACAAGAAATACACCTCAAATCCAAAAACAGACATTACCTCAGAGTAAAGGGTTGGGATAAGGTATTACAATCAAACACAACCAAGAAAGGAGCTGGGTAGCTATCCTAGGATCTAAGAAATTAGACTTCAAACTGAATTCAATCAAAATGGATGAAGAAGATCCTTTAATATTCATCACAGGAAAAATCCATCCTGAAGAAATCTCAATTTTAAACATTTACACCCCAAATACAAAGGCATGAACATTCATAAAAGAAACATTATTAAAACTCAAATCA